CTCAGGATATTGGAAGTTGTCTAAACCATATTTTATAACCACTGCATATCGAATTAAAAAAAAATCATCACAACAGTTTTATTGTGATTTTATGCTTTATATATTTTTTTTTACTTTTTGAGTTAAATTTCTCACTGAATGATTGTTTAACCAGAGGACCATCTGTGGGCTATGGATACCAGCAAGAACACTTACCGTCAGTCAGTGTGATCGTATGTCATATAAAAACTTTGTCTTTTATTTCAAATTGTTAGGTTACCTGCCTAGTTGTGATAAATATTTAACAGTGACTTATTCAATTCAAGAAAGGGTCGAAATAACAAAACTGTATTGCCAAAATAGGAGCATTGCAAGAGCTACTGCCCGGTTATTTAAGGCGTTACATCCAGACAAAAATATTAACGATGAGATGATAAGAAAATTTGAAGATCTGGTCTAATATTCGCCGTAATCGCCATCGAGAAAATCGACCAGTTAGAAATGAAGCCGCAGAAATAGCAGTTTTGGGACACCTAAAGTACTCGTGGACTGGCTACTTCAGTATTTACACTCTCAACAGGACAAAGAATTTTGAAAGATAACGAATTTCACCCATACAAGATAAAACTTATCGATGAGCTTAATGAAGATGATAGAAGGTTGGACTTTTGCGAGTTAATGTCACAACGTATAATCAAGAATGCAAATCTGATACTTAATATTTGTTTCTTGGATGAGTGGACGTTCTATTTACATGGTGTTGTAAATAGACATAATTGTCAGATATTGGAGTGACTCGATTCCACATTGATTGGTTCTGAGGGGTACACTCGCAGCATCCTGGAAAAATGGATTTGAGGGTCGGCATTTTCGGAAATCATATTTTAGGACCTTTCTTCATTCCTGGAATCTTGATGGGCGACTTGGACATGTGAGAAAATACAATAGAGCCACAAATGACCGAAATAATAGAAAATGACGTTAATTATAATGAAAATTATATTTATTTCCAACAAGATGGTGCACCGTCGCACAACGTGGCTGCAGTACAACAGTTTCGAGTTTGCCGCCGAGATCTCCGGGCCTAAGTCTTTCAGATTACGTTCTTTGGGAGCATTTGAAAAGTTGTTAGTACGAAGCCAGATTTATTTCAAGGTCTTCGTTCGCGGATTGCGGTTAAATGTCTACAAATAACTCAAGACATCATTGACACTGTGAGGAACAGATTCGATCAAAATCTTTATTATTGCATGGAGGTAAATGGACATCACTTTCAGCACTTAATACCACATTGACCTACCTCTTTATAGCAAATAAATTTTTACTTGAAATTTAATGTGAGTGTAAACGGTGTATCAGCTGTTTTTTGTTATTTTAATGCTCTGAAACTTTTTAATTTTAAAGTCTTGCTACTATTGATTATTATTTTTACGTAATGTAATCCCTTATTGCCACAATTTCTAGAATTTGATTATAGAAGATAGGTATAAGCTTTATCATACAAAAGTTACTAAAAACTTCATGGAAAATCTAAAAATTAAAAAATCTAAAGTGTAACGCAATATCTGATTTTTGGATCACCCTGTATTGTACGGCTATAGATGAAAAGACGTCCCTCTAGAAATCCAAATTGACGTGTCCGAGCGTTTTCCCAAAATATGCCAGGAGAGTCACAAATAGGGGTACGACTTTTTCGTTGGACCACCCGGTACAGTCTCAACCGGTATGTTGGGATTCACAGTGCGCGGTGGTCGACTCTAGTGATAGATTGCATCTCGCGCTGGCTTATTTCGGTAGATATCACACTTTTGATAGTATACCTTTGTTCATTATTCCAGAGAACCCAAGCATAGATCATGCTGAGGAATAGCGAAAAAGCATGAAACAGCTGTCCATGATTGGCCGTATTTGGTGGGGCAGATGAAAGCAGAATATGTTTAGGGTATATCTCTATTTTTGATCTTATTTTACGCACCTATTAGACATATCTCACACATCATAGATTTCCCCATATATTTGCTCTTAAAACTTAGAATGACTGAGAAATGTTTCCCACAATCGACAGTTTTTGCACCCGGCCGGAAAAGCGTCGGTCTCAGTAAGTGTTCTGGTATTACTGCCGCGCTGCCGTATCTGACGAGGTTATGCATCAGACAGAGGTAACGTTGCCGAATGGATAACCGGTACCGGCACTGTTTGACTGACATGACCTGTTTCAATTATCTGTTACATATGTTCGTAACTAACTTTTTTCTCAGAGGGGCTCTGCTGAACATAATCCTTTATGGACTGGTGATAGCTTTGCGTGCGAAATGCAGAGTCAACCTACTTGACGCTATTTCTTTGTTCGAAATGGCTTGGTCCCTGAGGTTGCAGACTCTACAAGCTGACGAACTGATACCATAACTGTACCTGTAGTCCAATCTGAGACCCAACGACGACTTGATCAAATTAGTTCTAGTAATTGTTTCTATGGTAAAAATTATGCTGCTTGATCCAACATTATTTGAGTACATTTTAAAATGGTAATATATTTATTTTATTTAAACGCAGTAGGAACTTTTCAAAATATGCAGAATACTTTGAATTCGAAATTGTTCAGCTTCTGCTTTAGGATTGAATTCCATCTACGTAGTGCAACAAACTCTGGTGCATCCATTCCAGTTGTTCTGCTTTGCTAAAACGCTACTATATCCATAAAGGAAAAGGAAAATTATGATTCTTACTTTGGACCTTTAAGGTTCTTCTAACATTTTATTTAATTGTCATACTGATTGCATACCGATTCTTAGTTATTCCATCCACTTCTAAAAATCGTAAAAATAAAGCTCATTTTGACAAAATTTTATTGTATTAGAATAGATGAAAGCAGTGTCAACTTTTACTGACCTTCCCAACATAGCAAGGGAAGCAATGAAATCTGGAGTTTTCAACTAAACATAAGTACACCAACCAACGACAAAAAGTCGAAACCCCTGACCCTTGTCCCTGATTTGCAATCAATGGCTGAACTGAACCTATCTGCTTCCCGAGTTGGTTAGTATAAACCAACTGCATACAACGTTGTTTTTAGCAATTATCAGTACAGTATAGTCGTGTAGAGACACAAACAGAAAGCAACCAAGCGGGTACGATCTATTGAAGAGTATGTTTTTACAGCACTGACGTTCTATGAACGGATATATGTCGCGTCCATCATTTAAGAGGACGATATGCCAATCATCAGTAATTCGAGGAACTCTCAAGGCTACCGGTAAGGGTTTACTATACAAAGCTGTGTAAATAGACAAACTGCACCGAATTTGTTTACTTTCCGTCTCTGTAACTATGACCAATCGCATACAACATTATTTTATGCTTTTTAGCAATAAATAATCTGTATGTCTCGTCGTGTGAACACTGACAAGAAAAGCTAACAAGAATGTATGGTTTAGGTGTCTACGAGCCCCTTCCCACTTCAGTTGGCCCAACTATTGAAATCTTAGTTTTTTTCTTATCAAACACAAATAATGAAAACGTAGCAGGGTGTTATAGGTTTAAAATATTAACAATGAAGATTTTGATAATATATAGTAGAAAACACCAACTTTATCACTCCCTAATCAAATTTGCAGCATAAAAATAACACATGTTGCAATTACAGCATATCAACCTATTTTCATTTTAATGCAAAGTAAGTCTATAACGCATAGGTGGCTGTGAAAAATAAAAGACATGACAATTGTTTTTATTAATCACAGCTGTCAGAATACGTTTAAAATAGTTTTGGGTAGTTAAGGTTTTCAAAATGGATAGAGGAAAGGTTATTAGTGAGAAAATTCGGTTACTGATAATTAAATTTTTGAATTCTGGGAAATCAAACTCAGAAATTGCAACCTTGTTAGACTTATCGCGGTACAGTGTGAGAAATGTTGTTAGAAAATATAACGTAACTGGTTCAGTTAATATTAAGCCACGATATGTGAAAAAGAGTAATATTACAAATGCCGACCGAAGAATAATCGTGAAAAACAGGCGTGCCAATTATTTACAATTAAGTGCTCTGTGGAGTGACGCTATTGGAATAAGAATTTCGAGGTACACAACTCATAGAGAGGCCCACGAACTGGGATTTAGCACTTGCAAGGTAAGTTTTCTTGTAAAAAAAAGTGAAGTAAAAATCCTAAAGTTGCACAACTTGTTTATAGGCCAAAGAAAAGCCACTATTAACCCCACTGCAAAAGAAAAATCGGCTTAGATGGGCAAATGAAGCATTCCATGTTGACTGTCTGAAGAGAAAAGTGAAATTTCCAGCATACATTATGGTCTGGGGCAGTATGTCATCAAAAGGAGTAGGAAAATTTCGTTTTATTGATGGAAATGTGGATACAAACAAATATTTGGCAATTTCAGAAGAATCGCTTTTACCAGTGATGGAAGAATGTTTGACATCCGGCCAAGATTTTGTGTTTCAGCAAGATGGTGCAGCGTGCCATACCTCAAAAAAGGCTATAAAATGGATGGAAGAAAATAATGCACCACTTTTGAAATGGGTTTCTAGCAGTCCAGATCTGTCACCTATTGAAACTTTGTGACACGAGATGAAAAAGGTTCTACGGCAACATCCTGCTCGTACAATCAACGAACTGAGACAAAAGCTTCCAGAAATTTTTGCCAAAACTTGGTTAACACTATGCCCCAAAGAATTTCAGCCGTAATAAATAATAAAGGTGATGTTACCCAATGGCAATCTTTCAATTGTTGCTTTTTTAACTTCGCGCATTTATTCGCACATTGTTTATTTGTTCAGATTTTCTATTAGTTATAGGTCTAGGTGATTTCAAATATGTATTTTTTACGACTAGAGTGTATCTAAAATGTTTTTGAGACAATAAATTGTTTTAGAAGTAAATGATTTCGTCATGTTTAGTTTATAAAGGCATATTTTGGTACAAATCTTGAAGTGGACCAACTGAAGTGGGAAGGGGCTGGTAGATAATACAGTATTAGTTATCATTGAGGGTAATCGAATTAGTACAGCATTATTTGTACAAAAATTTATTAACTTAGCTATAAGATCACAATAAATTAGTGGATGAATTTGGCAATAGGAGCAGCATAAGCATGGGCAGCGTAAGCCGCTGGTGCAGGGTGGGCAGAATACGCAATTGGGGCAGCATGGGCGGCATATGCCACAGGCGCAGCCAGCTTGGCGACTGGGGCAGCATAGGTTACTGGAGCTGGGTGGGCAGCGTACGCCACTGGGGCAGTATGGGCGGCATAGGAGACTGGGCCAGCATGGGTGGCATAGGCAACTGGGGCAGCATGGGCGGCATAGGCAACTGGGGCAGCAGGAGCAGCGTAGGCGACTGGTGCAGCAAGTTTAGCAACTCGGGTAGCGTACGATACTGGGGAGGCGACCTTAGCAACTACAGGGGCAGCTTTGGCAACGATGGCAGGGCCAGCGAGGGGCTCCTTGCGTACCACAGCGTTGAATCCGTTGATGGGGTCAGCAGTGTAGTCCACGGTACGGCGGGTACCATCGGGGTCGGTCAGGGAATACGATCCTGGAAAGAGACGGTAATAAGAAGGAATGTTAAGGAAATTACTACTAAGCTTGAATTGAAATCTTTAACAGCGTTTTCGCTTGTACCTCTGAAAATTATATGCCCAGTGTTATCATTTTTCATCTTTCAACAGAATTTATTGAGATACAATACTAAGTTCAAGTTACAAGCCACATAAAGCCATAAAATCTGCAGTTCTAGAGAATCTTTGGACAATTAGTAAATCCTTTAAATTATGACTGAATGCCCCTTTTTGGTAGACGCGTGGGTAATAGAACACAGCACGAGAATAGACATCAAAACTAGAGGTTAACAGTATGAAAATAAAATAACTGAGCCCAGCACAACTTAGAATCATCGTACCAGAGCTGTTTCAATAAATAAGTACCTTGTACAACATCACCGTTTCTGGACTCAATCTGGCTCTTGCTGTCACCGGTCAAGGCATCCTGAACATCATATCCGTACTGGTACTGCGGGTTGGGGTCGTACTCTTCGCTGACGACAGTCTTAGCCGACACTGGTACAGCATGTGCAGCGTACACTGGAGCCGATTTCAAGATTGCTGGGGCGGCTGCCAAGGGAGCAGCGTATCCTGGGGCGGCATATGCTACTGGGGCGACAGCAGGCTGGAGGAAGCCAGCTCGGGCCACTGCGACTACTGCGGCGAAGATGAACAACTGAGAAAAACATAATTGACTTTGTAACTTTCATTACTAAAAAATCTGAGATAGTGAAGAGTAGACAGTGCACAATACTCCACAAATAAACATACTGAGGGGTGCCGTGTACTGCTTTTTGTTTTGTGGCAATCCGACGATGGTCTAGTGAGACATAAAACACGTTACACTGTAGCATATTTGTTTGTAAAACCTTACGCATTTTCTGTAACAGTCAGTGGCTCCAACAGACTGATGTCAACAGGTGTCGTTCTTTGCATTTTTAAGCACATGAAAATAACTATGGTTTTTAGCCTCAATGAACTAGTTAAATTGCACTGGAGAATCGTGATGGACTCACGAAATACTTAACCTGAAGTAGGATTTTTATATTTTCCAAATGTTGTATGTCAAACATAAGGGCAAATTTAACACGTAATATCTTGAGGTGCCATACGCTAAATATTATTATATCACTATCCATAACATGATAAAAATTTGTATGAGCAATATTCATGTAACCTAGTTTTATATTTATGGTGAAAAATTTGAAATAATGCTTAATTTATTAATTAAGGCATCTGAGCTTACCTTAGCTACCATTGTGGTTAACGTTCTTGTTTTGAGACAAGTGTGGTTACTGTCAGCCCCCGATGTGTTTTTATACTGGATGCCTCCCGCATTTCTCTTAGTACGAATGTTTGTCTAAATCCAACCGTACGGCCGCCCGGTGGTTACTCAAGATGACCGGTATGGGTACCACCACGGCCACGCCCGATCATTCGAACAATATAGGTACCTAGTGCGGTCACTTTAGATTCGTTCATATCCGTGATTGACCAATGCGTTTGAAATATCGAATATTTCACCTTCCACAAGCTTCTACTTTTTATACCGTATAATTTTTTTACGAATTTTGGCTTATTTTCTTCGGTCAGTATCAAGTCACCGATCAACCTAGGCATGAGGTAATTCTGCTAACACACAATAGTTATAACCATTTCAGTAATACTGTTCGACTTCATTTCAAGTTTCTAAACCATATTTTTTTATCCATTTTTTTGTGCTTCATATACTCGTATTATCTGATTTTTAGTTAAACAGGCATAGTATGACAATTAATTTTTTAGAAACGTTACAAATTATGACAAATGAATTTCAGCAGGCCAAACTTTGCTAGCAAGTAATTTCTCTATAATATAAATTTAGCAAAATTACATTTTTAGTGCCCGAAATAGATTGTCTAAGTCCATCTTTCAATGTTGATACAGTTTATGCTTGATTTTCAATAGTGCGTTGGAGAATCGTATTTGAAGGACCGCTGCAGGCCAAATGTTTCCAGTCAGTCATGTTTTCATAAACAGGTGTGCTACATTGAGACAGAATTGCATATTTTCTAGTTGCAACAGACTGTGTAGACCTCAGTCTATGGTGTGTGGTCTACTTGCCATTGAGCAAAATACACATGATCTGCTTTCGTTCCATAGACCAAAGACAGTCAACCATAGATAGCTGTTTCGTGCTTTTTGGCTAGCCCTCAGCATAGTCTGGACTGGGGTGGCTCGGACAACAAATGGAAGCATACCAACTATACACTATCAAACCTGTAAGATTTATCGAAGAAAGACAGCGCAAAGCGCTATCTGCAACTAGAATCGTATAAGATATATCGATATCGTATTTTTACTTTATTCAGTGGCAAAGGGTCCATGTGTACTATTCAGCTAGAACAGCTATCATCTAGTGGTCACGTGGCGACTGGGCCTCTAATTGTCGGACCTGCGATTCACTGTGCGCGATCTCACAGTTTTGGTTCTGTTTAATTGCTATTTCTTGCATTCGTTGTTCGAGAGACCCAAGCTTTGACCAAGCCGAGGAGTAGTCAAAAAGCACGGAACATTTCTGGCAGTCGTTGGTCGGACGGACGAAAGCAGAGGATCTTTAGGGGTAAGAAGCTAGGAGATGGGGGTTGTGTGCATGGAGGGAAGGAATGCCTATGGTCTAGTTGCATGGACCTGTTTCACTGACCTGATCTGTTTCATTTCTCTGTTATACATGTTCATAACTAACCTTTTTCTCAGAGGGACTAAGGGACGGTGTTGCATGGGAATGCATGGTGAACCTACTTAACGTCATTTTTTGTTTGAGATTGCTTGGTCCCGGGGTTACCAGACTTTACAACCTTACAAACTAATGCCACTACTGGACCTTCAGGCCAATCTGAGAACCAACGACGACTTCATCAAATTAGCTCTACGAATTATTTATATAGAAAAAATTCTCGTTGTTTCAACATTATTTAGCAAATTTTAAAATGGCAATATAATTATCTTATTTCAAGTCGGTAGGAGCTTTTTAAAATATTTCTGTACTCATAGTGCGTCCATTTCGGTTGTCCTGGTTTGCTAAAGCGCTACAATATCGATAAAGTGAATGGAAGTTCATGATTCTAACTTTAGACCGTTTTGGTTCTTCTAACATTTTATATAATTGTCAAGTATGATTGCATACCGATTCTTATTTGTTCCACCTACTTCTGAAATTCGTAAATATAAAACGCATTTTTTTATAAAAGTGTATGTTATTAGAATAGATGAAATCAGTGTCAACTTTTCCTGACGTTCCCGACATGGCAAAGGAAGTGCAGGCTCAGCGACAAAACCTGAGATTCGGAGCTCTACATACTCCAACCAATGTCAAAAAATCGAAACCTTGAACCCTTGTGAGGGCCAACTTCCTTATACCCACTCTTTATCTACAATACTTAACTGCTTTGCAAGGTCAATCAATGGCCGAAATGAACCTGTTTACTTTCCGACTCTGCAATCTTAAGAACGTTGTTTCATGATTTTTAGCAATAATCAGTACACTATAGTGGTGTAGAGGCAGACAAACGGTAAGTAAACAAACAGATATGTTGTTACAGCACTAAGGCCCCTTACACACGACCGATTATTCCGCCGACCGGTTGTTTCACTGACCGGCGAAAAAATCGGGATTATTTTACACACTATAATGCGACCGACCGGTTATGTGCCGTTTACTTGTATTCTATACGAAGACCAGTGCTGTACTGTCATCCGACGTAGATAGAACTTGACCATTTTCGTTTCGTACATCTTCAAAAATGAAACGTGAAATGAAGATCGGACTTGTGTATTTATTGTATAAACGAAGAAAATACAAGAAAGCAGCATCAAGAAGATTATGGATTCATCCACTAGTAGCAGAAAGAAGTGCAGTAGGAGCATTTTATGCCGTGTTCATGAAGCAAAATCTTTCAATTACTTTAGGATGTCTGTTGCAACATTTAATTTTTTGACTATGGATATTCAGTATTATTGTCATAGTGAGATGTAGTTGAACCATATAAATGATGTACATGATTGTTGTGTTGAAGTCTGTGGACACTGTAATGTATGGTATGTCGGTGTCCACTGCTGGCTGTAGTTAGTATCGTCGACTGAGTTGCTGATGGTGTAAATGTAAACGAAGGTAGCAATCTATTGGTATCAGAAGTATTTTTGAAACCATCACATTTTGTCGTCTTCGTCAAAGTTTTCATCAGTCGGCAAAATAGAAACAAAAAACGATTTATCTTCACTGACTGAGGGTGAGCTGCCCGATTTTTCCAAAATACCTAGCACTTTGGCTTCAAAATCGTCTCGACGTTTCTTCGGTGCTGAGGCTTGATTTCCTGTTGGTAAAGCCTTTGAAGCCGTTTGTTTAGAGGCTGATGAATTTAGATTCGATGGATGAACAATGATCAATTTGAGAATCTCCTTCATTGCTATATATTACCATCTCTATTCCATGGCATTTGTATTTTTTTCTTGGGAAAGACTGGATGTGGTAGCATTGTGGTCTGTTGTTTTTGTAAGGAATTGCAACTGAACGTGAAAGATATATTTTCTGAAAGATTTTAGTTTTTTTAAATACTTCACTAAACTGTCACGAATGTTGTTCCATTTCTGCAATAGTGTTTTACCTGAAAACATAAATGCATTTGTGAGTGTAAGTAAAATATTTTCCGGTTTATTTGCCGGTCGGTGAAACAACCGGTCAGTGTAATAATCGGTCGTGTGCAAGGGGCCTAACAACTACCGCTTACAGATGAGTTCGTATTCGATGAAAATGCAGAATGTCACTAAGCTTCTGTCCTATACTAAATGACCGTTACCGTTCTATGAACGGATATATGCCACCACCATCACTTAGAGGACGATGTGTCAATTAGTCGGAACTCCAGATATTCCCAAGCTACCGGTGATGCCTTGATATACAAAAACTGCATAAGTAGACACAGGCTGCACCGAATCTGTTTGCCTTCCGCCTCTGTAACCATGACCAACCGCATACATTATTGTGTTATGCTTTTTAGTAATAAATGATCAGTGTAGTATGAGTCTAGTCATGTGAAACCATAAAGCATACAGGCGAGTGTTTATAATATAATATATAGAACTCGGTATGTTGTGCGCAAAACATGACCGTTGACAGCTGCCACCTATAAATAACATCTACGATATATGAATCTTTGGCTATTTCTAAGTCGCAGTTGTTAGTTATCACCTCTTCGTGGGTAACCGACATTAAAATGCTGCATTATATTTATACAAAATTTTATTAACTAATACAATAAATTAGTGGATGAATTTGGCAATAGGAGCAGCATAAGCGTGGGCAGCGTATGCCGATGGTGCAGGGTGGGCAGAATACGCAATTGGACCAGCATGGGCGGCATAGGCTACTGGAGCTGGGTGGGCAGCGTAAGCCACTGGGGCAGCATGGGCAGCATAGGCAACTGGCGCTGCTAGCTTGGCAACTGGGGCAGCATATGCTACAGGGGCAGCATGGGCGGCATAGGCAACTGGGGCAGCATGGGCTGCATAGGCAAGTGGGGCAGCATGGGCAGCATAAGCAACTGGAGCAGCATGGGCGGAATAGGCAACTGGTGCAGCAAATTTGGCAACTGGAGCAGCGTACGATACTGGGGCGGCGACCTTAGCGACTACAGGGGCAGCTTTGGCAACGATGGCAGCGGCAGCAAGGGGCTCCTTGCGTACCACAGCGTTGAATCCGTTGATGGGGTCAGCAGTGTAGTCAACGGTACGGCGGGTACCATCGGGGTCGGTCAGAGAGTACGATCCTGAAAAGACACAGTAATAAGAAGAAATGGTAAAGGAAAATACGAGTGCTTAACGAAATAAAATACTAATTTGTGGCCACATAAGGCCTAATCTAAAGACAAAATCTGCGGTTCTAGAAGAGCATTCGTGAATTCTTGAATCAAAGACTAAATGCTGCATTGATGCCTGAGTATCAGGACACTGCAAGTGACCAGACTTTCAAAACTGATGACAAATATATAAAATCCGAAGATTGCAGCCCGGCACAACTAAAAACCATCGTACCAGAGGTGTTTCAACATATAAGTACCTTGTACAACATCACCATTCCTGGACTCAATCTGACTCTTGCTGTCACCGGTCAAGGCATCCTGAACATCGTATCCGAACTGGTATTGCGGGTTGGGGTCGTACTCTTCGCTGACGACGGTCTTGGTGGCCAACACTGGAGCCGATTTCAAGAGTGCTGGGGCAGCTGCTAAGGGAGCGGCGTATGCTGGGGCGGCATATGCTACTGGGGCGGCGGCAGGCTGGAGGAAGCCAGCACGGGCCACTGCGACTACTGCGGCGAAAACAAAGAACTGGAAAAAAATTAACTGAATTTGTACTCGTTACTCAGAAATGTGTTGCGTAGACAATTCGCGA